GTATTATTATGAATAATGGCCTTAACTCTGCTAAACTTGCTGACATAAATTTACACCAACAAAATTGGTCAAGATGCGCCTTCATGAACACACAAAAGACTATGTGTCTAGATGTTCAACAGCTTTCCAGACACATAATGGCAGCAGAAACAAGTCCTGTTTTTTTCACTTTAGCACTTGGCCTCCGGAAGGCCATGGTTAGTGCAATTACCATAAAAGTACTGCAGGCCATCTCCAGTAGGCTTGCAGTACTCACCGTACAAGCCAACCACTCAGTCCGGCAGTCGGCCAGCAGAGCAGAGCTGAACTGTCTGCCGATACTGAGGTAGTCCCTCCCCTTCTGCCCCGGGCCAAGGATGGACACACCCGCTTCAGCGCCTCCGCATTCCTAGCATTCCTCTAAGCCTGTCACATCTGTGCTAGCCAGTCTGATTGGCCTGGGCCCGTGAACACAGCCAGAACTCGGGTGAACACACATATGTTCATATGCACTCACAGCCCTGGGAGAAGCAGGGGTTAGAGCTGGAGTGAAGGCCATCAGGATGGGGTAAGGGGCAAAAGGGCAGCTGAGAAGGGCAGTAACTCTTGCAGGAAACACAAAGCCATAACTGTCTCTGCCAGCAACTGCCACCTGGCAGTAAAGTAGCCCATTTCCCAAAACAACAGCACCCTGTGACCCCGCAGTCAGCAGACAGCCGCACCTGCTGCCGACCATCCCAACAGAGTGTGGCAAAGAAAGAACAATGACATCAACCCCCACCCAACTGTCACTCTCAATCGCTTCAGCTGGCGAAAAAGCAATGCAGCAACAACAACCCCACAGTTCTGATATGAATATAACCGATATCTCACTGTACATTACTGTGTACTGAAATTAACTTGGTGCTACAGGCTTGACCAAGAAAGACAAGAACTTGAAAGATGTGGATGAGGTGTAACTCGCACACTTTCCGGACTACAAAGAGGTTGAATAAAACTCAACTTTCTGTTATGGTGATGTCAAGATGTTAAGATTTTTGAAACTTCCCACAGTGATGAGCAAAGTAATGGCTCTGAATTGTGTGGTAAATGATAACCTTTCACCTGTTGGACAGTGAAGTTCTTTAGTTGAGGTGCTGAGAACCAAGTCTTCATTTTGTGGACCTTGGAGGTGTAACTTATTTTGTAAAGAGTTTTTCCTTTTCTTTTTTTCAGATGCACAGCAGCTGAATTATACTGGTAAAGCTTGCAGGGGAAGGCCTGAACAACTAAATGTAGTACCAGGAATTATGTCAACCATCTGAAATAAAAAGCATGACATCCTTTAAAGATGTTACCTACAGCTCATAAGGAAGTGACTTTGTTTTTTTTTTTCTTTTTTGTTTGTTAGTTTTTTTATTTTAATTGTATATTGCCAATCTCCTTAAATGGGTACGAACTGCACAAGCCAACATTATAGCGCAGTTGTAACTAGATTACATCTAGACACAGGTAAGAAAAATTGGAATTCAAATTGTGGATAGTGATTTTAAGCAAAGGTGATCCTGCACCCTTATTTTAAGCAGGAATAAAAAGGTTCCTGACTATAAAAATATATGGAGGCAGTAGGTGTAATATACTCCGAAAATAAATTAACAAAATAATTCATTCACTAATTTCTTAAAAACATCAAAGCAGTAGCAACAGTGTATGCCAGTAGCTGTTTTGTGCTAATTAATACTTCAGCACGTTCTTCTTTAGAAAGAATACCCAGAAAGACCGGTTAGATTAGTAGGAGAGAGAGAGAGAGATTTACTTTTTAACATTATGAATCTGATTGTTAGCACATGATTTAATAAAACTTATTGTTGGGCTTATTTGAACTTTCTGTCACCCCTGAGCTATGTAAGTGACTGGAAATGGCACTGGTAAGTCTAGACAGGCTTGTGGAGCAGTGAACACATGAGTATAAAGTAGTCTTTTCTTGCGAATGGAAAGTTGCAAAGGTTTCCCAGCAAATAAAAATCCTGGAAGAAAAAATGGAATTCCCAATGGGAGGGATGACTTGCCTGCTTTTGGAGGCCATTGGAGTCTGAGACTGCTAGGTAGACAGTCTTACATACAGTGCAATCATTAACATTCCCCTAACCTCACGTCAGGGCAGCTTTTAGATGTCTGAGGTAATCACCTTGTGAGAAGGCTTCTTCTGGGGGCATTCCTTGGCTCTCCCAGCAGAGCCTCAGATGACTTATTGTAAAAGGAGAGGGTGTTTAATGCTCTAGAAAAAAAAGGGCTTCTAAAAGTGGTCTTGACAGTTTGTTGCTGAAGGGGCAGGTTTGTGCAAAGCCTGCTTCTTTGTTGGTGTTCTCATGACAAATGTATGGAAGGGAAGACACAGCACTGCACAGCTAAAGTGGAATAAAAATTTGGGTAAATTTGAAAATGCTTCAAAAGTTTATGTGTGTGCAAAAGTCAAAGCATGTTCTAAACTAGCTCTGGCACCTAGTAGAAATATGTCACAATATTTTTCCCATTATATCATATGTATATGTTTATGCATGATATTCGAATCTGCCAAAATAAAAAGTTGATAGATGTTATTTGATTTCATATAAAAATTAAAAATATAAAATATAAATT